TATCTATCTCATCAGGCCCTCTCTCTGGCATTTGAGTAATTTTGGACTGGACCAGGTTCTTCTGCCTTTTCATGGCGATAGAAGTGATCGCCAGTGAGTGGCACATGTATCAGCTGGGAGAACAAAGTCCCTTCCTGCTTGCTGGTTGCCTTGCCCTTCTCCACTGCCTGTGCTGGTTACCTGCACACAGGGAGCAGTCTCTGGGTAAATTCCCTGAGCTGCAGTGGGTTGGGTGCCCCTCGGGATGACCTAGCACACTGCTGGGGGTTGCAGACGTGCCAGGTGTGTTCCTCTGCAAGAATGGCACCCCTTCATGCCTTCCAGACCTTTTGCCAGCTTCCTCTGTCTGTGCCGGGCAGCTGTGTGCTGGTGACAGCCTCTGGGTCTGGCCCGGGTAGCCGCGTGCTGGGAGAAGACCGTGTGGTTGCTGTGGGCGGGGCTGCTCCCTGGCTGGTCCGCCGCAAGGGCGGGTCAGCTGGTTTGCGGTTTGCTTGCAGTGCCAGTGGGGGTGGGGATGAACAGCAGGTTGCTTATCGCTGTGAGGGGCTTCAGAGCTGCATTGCCACCCGCGGGGGTTAGGGCACCTGAAGTTCTTTAGGATTCCCAGCCTGCTGAGCTGAGTGTGCCAGGACAATTTTGTCCACCTATTAAACCCTTGTCCCTTAAAGACTTTTAAAGTGCCATTTTTTTTTTTTGTCCCAGGGAACTGGCTGTGGGGACCCACTAACAGTCTCTGTCTCGGATTTTACTTTTCCATTTCTCTAATATGCAGTACTCCATGCAATGTGTGTCTGTGCTCCCAGTGCAGATTACTAGAGCTGGTTATTTAGCAGTCCTGTGCTGCCACTCCCTCCCCAATCTGAGTCTTTTCCTCCCACCAGTGAGCTGGGGTCGGGGGAGTGCTCGGGTCCACCAGGTCATGGCTTTGTATCTTACCCTTTTCGTGAGATCCTGAGTTTTTGAAGATGTAGATGTAGCCTGACTGTTGTACTGTATCTTCTGGTCTCTCTTTTAGGAATAGTTATATTTGCTGTATTTTCAAAATATATATGGTTTTGGGAGGAGATTCCCACCACCCTACTCATGCCGCCATCATGAGCGCCACCCCCAATGGCTTTTCTTTGAGTATGACTCTGCTATTCAGTTTCCCAGGATTTTTTTTTGGTAGGAACCACATCCATAATACATGATCTATGATTTCCAGTACCAGCTTCTTTAGAGAGGAGCAAGGACTTAGACATTCTCAAAGCATCTGAGTACAGAACCTTCTGAATTTTTACCATATTTCTTACAAGTGTCTCATGCTAAAGTGATAATAGTATTTTTGGTGACTCACTTCTACCTTGCCTTTATAAAGCAGTCAACTTTGTTTTCATAGAAATAGTTCTTTTAGCACTCATGACTTAATAATTGGTGTAACAGCTAACTGAACTATTAGAATAAGTACAGCTTTCATAAATAAGTTATGTGCCGCAATATATTTTACAGCAGAAACTAGAGTACCACTTAATTGGGGGATCAAGTGGAAGTCAACTGGGAAAGCTCATACTATTAACACTTTCACAAAAAACAGAAATCAGGAAAAGGAAAGAGATGAATATGTGAAATTCCTCATTTTTCATAAGCACACAGGTTCTGTCTCAAGTCTATGTATCAAGAAGTGGACACAAAAGTATTTTATTTCAAGTCAAGTGGCCATACTGACTACAGATTCAGTGCAATCCCTATCAAAATCCCAGCTGACCTTTTTTTTGCAGATTCTAAAATTCATATGGAGAGTCAAGGGACTTAGAATAGCCAAAACAATCTTTTAAAAAAGAACAAAGTTGGAAGACTCACACTTCCTGATTTAAAAACTGACTACAAGGGTAAACTAATCAAAACTGTGTGGCCTGGCATAAGGGCAGACATATAGAGCAATAAAAGAGAAACTAAAGCCCAGAAATAAACCTCATATTTATGGTCAATTAATTTTCAACAAAGGCACCATGATGATTAAATGGGGCAAGAACAGACTTTAACAAATGGTGCTGGAACAACTTGATAATCCATATTGAAAAAAATGAAGTTGGACTCCTACCTCACTCTATATACAAAAATTAACTCAAAATGGATCACAGCCCTAAATGTAAGAGCTAAAACAATAAAACTCTTAGAAGAAAACATAGGAATAAATCATGACCTTGGATTTATGACCAATGGTTTCTTATGACACCAAAAGCACAAACAATAAAAGAAAATAAAGATAAACTGGAATTCATCAAAATGAAAATCTGTGTTTCAAAGGACACTATCAATAAAGTGAAAAGACAACTCACAGGATAAGAAATGAAAATATATATCTATTGTATGTGTACACATTTTCTTTATCCATTCACACACTGATGGACACTTCAGTTGTTTCCAGGTACACAGATGTAATGGAATATTACTCAGCCATAACAAGAAGGAAATCCTGCCATTTGCAAAAATATGGATAGACCTTGAGGGCATTATGCTAAGTGAAATAAATCAAACAGAGAAAGACAAATACTATATTATCTTACTTACATGCGGTATCTTAAAAAACCAAAGTCAGAGAAACAGAACAGACCAGTAGCTGCCAGAGGTTGAGGGGGAGAGGGGATGGGTGAAGGTGGTCCAAAGGCACAAACTTCTGTTACCAGATAAATAAGTTCTGGGTATGCAATGTATACAATGGTGATGACGGTATTATATATTTGAAAGTTGCTAAGAGTAAATCTTAAAAGTTCTCATCAGGGAAAAAAATAATTTGTTAACTATGTGAGGCAACAGAATGATCACCATAAACTTACTGTGGTGATCATTTCACAGTATTACATATGTTTATTTATGCATATTACATATATCAAGTACACATATATAAAACTGGACACAATTCCTATGCAACACCAAGCAATTCTTGAACACCAGCAAGGGGTCCTACAATTCAGCTCAATTCTGATACTATCTATGCACAGGCAACATCAGGTTCCACAGTTTCACAGCTCAGTCCTACAGCACTGCCTCCCCCTCTTCAGATGCCAATCTCAAGTCCACGTTGTTACCTGTGCTGCTGACCAAAGTGCCTATAAATCAGAAATTCCCACGACCACCAACTTTGGTTCTAATTTGCTAGAGCAGCTCGCAGAGAGAAACATTTTACTTACTTGATGACCAGTTTACTTTTAAAAGGGTATAACTGAGGAACAGCCAGAAGGAAGAGTATAGGGGCAAGGTTGCACAGAGCTTCTATGCCCTCTCCCAGAGTGCTCCATTCTCCCCCATCTCCCTGTGTTCACCAAACCAGAAGATCCCTGAACCCTGTCCTTTGGGGTCTATGGTGGCTTCATTACATAGGCATGGTTGATTAAATCACTGGCCACTGGTGACTAATTCAACCTCCAGGCCCTTTTCCCAACTTAGAGGTCAGGGGATGAGACTGAAAGTTCCAACTCTCAAACAGCCCCTATCCTCAGGTGATCTAGGGCATTCCTAGAGTCATCTCATTAACATAAAAAAGGACATTTTTTTTTTTACTACTCTCATCATTTAAGAAATTCCAAGGCTTTTGGGAGAACTATGTCTGGATGGGGTAAAAAGACCAAATATTTATTTCTTATTATAAATCACATCACAACACCTTAAGGTAATACGTTATATGTCAGTTATATCTCAAAAAAGTTGAGAAAAAAAGATATGCCCATAAAAACTTGGACACAAATGTTCAGCAGCATGATTCATATAGCCAAAAAGGAGAAACAACCATCAGCTGATCAACAGAAAATAAATCTATCCATACAATGGTTTACTATTCAGCAAATAAAAAGGAAGGAGGTTCTGATGACACGCTACAAAATAGATGAACCTAGGAAACATGATGGTGCACAAAAGACACCATACACACAAGGCCACATATCACATGATTTCATTTATATAAAATTTCCAGAGCATGCAAATCCTGAGAGATAGAAAGGAGATGTGGGGAGATGGGGAAAAGTAGGTAGATGGGACTACTAATGAGGAGGGATTTTTAGTGAGTCCAGGGTTTCTCTATGGGATGATGAAAATGTTCATAGTTGATTGTGGAGCTGGTTATAAAACTCGAGTATACTAAAAGCCTTGTACTATATTCTTTAAATTGTTGAATCATATGGCATGTCAATTATATCTCAATAAAATCATTTTTAAAAATCTCATGGGATCCAAGGATCACTGGAAATCAGAAACTGTAAAATCAGTAAAAAAGCAGATTAAAAAAAAAAGATAAACTCCTTCCACTAAATGAATAACATGTATCAGGTACTGTGCTGTTTCAGCATCAAGTTTAAGTCTCTCGGGGCACAAACTGACAGTAGCCATTCTCTTGATTTTCTTGCTAAGAGAACCCTGAATTCTAGTTGGATACCTCACTATATTTCACAGCCTCCCTTTAAGATGAGTGGCTGTGAGAAAAAAACTCTGGTCCACATAAATTAAGTGGAAGAAGTGTGTACAAATTTCTGAGGTGTGCTCTTAAAAGGAGTGTGGTGAGGGCACCCTTGTAAGTCCTCCTGACGAGAATGCTGATGTGATGGCTGGAGCTGGAACATCCTTTTTACACCATGAGGTGAACCTCAAAATGGAGGCCATGAATGGCAGAATAACAAGACAGAAGAAGCACGAATCTCTCTAGGACTACAGGGAGCAAAGCTTCCACATCTGGACTGCCTGCCATCAAATTTGTTTATGCTGCCGTCATATTTTTTTCCTGATATCCTAATGTACCTCCTAACAACCCATGAGATAACTACTATTGTTGCCTTGTTTTTTAAATGAGAAAAGGAAACAGAGGTAAGGTGATCTGCCCTAATCTCACAGTTGATTAGTGACAAAGCTAGAGTTTGAAACTAGGTCTCCTGATTCTAGAACACGCTATTAATAACTGTTCTATAAGCAAGAATATACCGCAGCCGGGGTTCAGGAAGCCCCAAGTCCCTGGCCAGCCATGCATTCCCCACCTGATGTCCTGTGTTGAGGAGACATGAGGCTTCACTTGCACACTCAGGGGTACCCGTTGCTCTGCCAGCCAGATGGCACACTGCGTAGCCACCTGTTCATCCCCGCCTGCTACTGCTCGGGTGAGTCTCAAGGCCATCTCTTCGGCTGAAAACCAGCACAATGGAAGCAGGTTAGTACAGAGCTTATTTTTCAGAAGCTGGAGGTGAGGGGGTAAAGGAGGAGGTGATCCTTCATACATGCTGTTTCATCTCTTCTTGATGAACTCCTACATATCCTTCAGCACCCAGCTTAAAAGTTTCTTTCTCTGGGACATCTTCTCTAACTATCCTCCCCACACCCCATCCCTGCTCGTTTGGTTCTATTTTTCCTTCATACTCCCAGGTCCCCCATAATTCCATTAATTTATCCAACAAGTATTCATTGAACTTCTACTATGTGCCAGCCACTGTCCCAGAAACTGGGATTCAGCAGTGAATAAGAAACAAGGTCCCTCTCTTCATAGACCTTCCAGCCCAGTAAGGAGACATTTTATTAAGAGAAAAAAAATCAGACTGTGATCCATGCTTGCAAGGAAATAAACAGGGTAAGGAGATCAAGGAAGGCCACAGGGAAGAGGTGACACTGAAACAGACCTGAAGGAGGAGAGGCTGGATATGTTAAGATCCAGTTGGGGAAGAGTGTGCCAGGTAGAAAGAAAGGTAAAAAGGCAAAGGCCTTGGGCAAGAAATGGTTGGATTAGAACAGCAAGAAGTCAATGGGGCTCCAGTGGAATGAGCACGGGGGCAAACGGGCAGATTGGGGTCAGCAGGCCCGCAGGCCTGAGCTACCCAGAGACTCTGGGCTTTGTTCTAAGAACACAGAAACACAGGAGGGTGTTTGAGCAGAGTGGAGACATGACCTGACTATGTTCAATGCTGGGTAGAGGGGGCGAAAAGGGAGCAAGTACCCCCAGAATTCCATCAGTTGATGTCTGTATCCCCCACCAGCCTGGGTGGTCTCGAGCGTCCTCTGGGAGCTCCCCACCCCCATTCCGGCACAGAGCTGGCCCAAGGAGAACTCCCGGCATCAAATAAAGGAGTGACTAACATGCCACTAGAAGCATCCAAGGGAGGAAACTGAGGGGCAGGGCAGGACCAGTTAAAGCCTCCTCTCCAGGGCCCTTCTGGGCAGGGAGGCCGGGCCCTGACACGGCCCACCTCCCACCCCATGTTTCCCAGCCGCCTACAGGCTGTGCTCACCTTTCTTGGTCTTCTCGTCCATCCGGCGTGACTGTGCCCATCCCCCCAGGCGGGGGCGGCAGCTCCGGGGAAATGCTACCTACGGGTGGTCCCCTGGCAGAGGATAGGCGACCTGGAGCGACTCAGCCGCGGCCGGTCTCCTCTCGCGCCGCCCGAGCCCTATTTGTGCTCCAGTGCCCCCGGCAGCAGTCGGGTAACATCACCCGGGGACTGAGGATGGGGCCTGGGATAGGCAACGGGCTGGACCCCCGCGTGGGACGTATAAGGGCTGGGGACACCAAGGCAAACCCGCAAAGGGCAACAGAGGAAATGGGACAGGCTTGGTCGGGAGGGCAGGGGGCGACGCCGCACAGTCCCCGGGGCGGGACCCACTTCTCCCGGCTGGGAGCGCCCCCGGCGGCCGAGATTTCAGCCCACTCCCTCCTCTCCCGAGCGGCCTGTCTGTCGGGAGAAGGGCCTGAGCAGCCTCGGCGGAAGAGAAAGTGAAAGTGGCAGCCCGGAAGCGCGGCGGCAGATTGTCGCGGGATCCGGCGGCGGCAGTCCCCGCCCCGTCCCGGGTCTCGGCGGTTCCTGGCGTCAATGACTCTGTCCTGGAGATCCTGGTCGTGCTGACCCGACTCCGCGACCCCAACTCACCTGCTCGGCCGTAGCGAGGAGGCGGAGCTCGGGGGAGGTGGGACGGGCGGAGGCTCCGCCGAGGGTCAGCGGGGCGGGGCCTGGCGGTGGCAGGGGCGGAGCAGCTGCCTGTAGGGCGGGGCCTGACGGGGGCGGGGGCGGGCACCGTTCTTGGCTCGGTTTGCAGAAGAGGAAACCGAGGTCCTGTTTGTTTATGACCCGCCATATCTCCATGGCTCACTCTATTTTGGTCTTTATCCAAAAGTCTTCCCTGTCCACTCTATTTTACACACACATACATCTAGCATTTTTATATCCTCCTGCCTCATTCTCCTCATTTCCTGGTCTGTTTACCTCCTCTAGAGCGCATAAACTTTTGCCTGTTTTGCTCACTGCCTGCGTTCACATGTAGGACAGTTCTTAACACCTAAGAGGTCTCAAGGATTATATGTTAAGTGAATGAATGAATCTAAGACTGTCATCTGGGCTCACTTCCTTTGTCTGAAATGCATCCCTTTATACAATCCCCCTGCACAAATCTGCTTTTGGTTTCTATCGATTTTCCAATTCTGGACATTTTATATTAATTAAATCTAATAATATGTGGTCCTTTGTGACTGGCTTAAGCAAAAGTCACAAATAAAATAAAAATAATTTTATTTGGCATAATGATTTCAAGGTTCATCCATGTTGGACTGCTCTCCTTTGAAAGTAGTCTCTCTGGTTTTTTCCCCTAAGTGCTTGTAAGATTTTTTCTTTGCCTTTGCATTTTTGCATTTCACTATGATGCATTTTATGTGAAAATTTATGGAATCTGTTGATTCTGTGGTTGATATCAAATTTCTAACTCACTAATTCCCTCTTCAGCCACAGCTAATCTGTGGTTTAACCCATCTTTTGAATTTTTTCTTTTGGTTATTATATTCTTCATTTCAGAAGTTTTGTTAGGTTTCAAATCTGTTATGCCACTTGACATAATTTCCTGTACTTTGGCCATAGTCTCAAGCCTGTTATTTATTTATTTAAGCACATAAACATTTTTGCTTTATAATCGGTCTTTGATAATATTGCCATCTGGACCTCAAGGGTCTGTTTCTCCTGGTTTTCACTCCTGTTGCCATGTTTTCCTTGCCAGTTTGTGATGGTCAGCTCTGCAGTCACCTGCACAAATTTGTATAGGGGGCAAATATATTCGTTCAGGTGTTCTGGTCTTAGCCTGGGCCCTTTAAGGATAGAGCTGGCATTCACTTTGGATATCCTTCATCTCAGTGGGTAAACTTTATAGCCATTCAAACCTAGATTGAGTCCCATAGTTCACTATCTGTGTGACACTGAGATTCCCCCTCTCTGGGCCTCAGTTTCTCCCTCTGTACAATGGTGATTATAATGGTCTCTCATATGGCTGTTTTGAGGATCTGTACTAGTTCTTTGTTATAGATATGTAACAAATCACCCCCAAATTTAGTGGCTTAAAACAATAAACATGTAGATCTCACATAGTTTCTATGGGTTAGAAATTCAGAAACAGCTTCTTAGGTGATTTTGACTCAAGCTATCTCAAGGTTGTAGTGAAGATATTGGCTGGGGCTTCAGTCATCTGAAGGCTTGACTGGGGCTGGAGGATCAACTTTCAAGAAAGGCACTTACATGCCTGGTTGGTGCTGGTTATTTGTGAGCTGCCTAAGTTCCTTGCCACACATACCTCTCCCCAGGGCTACCTGAGTGTCCTAGCAACATGGCAGCTGGCTCTCCCTGGAGGAGATATCCAAGAGAGCAAGCCAGGAGCCATAATATATTTTATGGCCGACCTTACAAGTCATACCGCTTCTTTTTCACAATATTCTATTACATTGGTCAGCACAGCTTAGGGTGGAAGGGAAGTACACAAGGGCATGAATACCAGGTGTCAAGGATCACTGGGGGCCATCTTAGCAGTTGACTATCCCATGCCACCTGGCATATGGTGTGACCAAATGAATGTCCTGACTTTGCTCTCAGCGTGCAGGATCTGCATAGCAACCACATCCAGTCAGTCATTCAACAAACATTTATTGAGCAGCTCTGTGTATCAGGAACTGTCCTAGGAGCTGGCAAGATAGTTGTAAACAAAACAACCTGCCTTATAAAACTCACAAACACAGACTGTCCTGCCAGGTGGTGCTGAGTGCTATGAAGAACCTGAGCCAGGTGAGGGGAGAGCCAGTGATGCAGGAATGAGGGTTCCACGCCTTCCCCCATGAAGCTGCCATGGTGGCTCAGATTTGACCCCTTATAATGTGAACCCACCATCACAGGCAGGTGGAATTTATACCCATTTTTCTTCTGGGCTGGAGTCAAACAGGCCCAGGGAGGAGCTGAAATGAGCTCCAAGTCCCCAGGGAATCAGGATTTCTCCAAATACAGAGGCACTCCTACTGGGTGCTCAGCATCCCCCAGGGAGCATGTAAAGCTGCAGAACTTACTGTGTTGAGAATCACTTGGTCTGTGGGGAGTCCAGAGGCCTGCATTTCAAACAAGCACCCCAGGGGACTGATGCAGGGGACTGACCAACCACATCAGAGAATCCCTGATCTGACCAGGATCATGAGGCTCTAGGTCCAGCCTCAAGGGATAGGCAGGGCTTAACCAACCACACAGAGAGGTGGGCAACATGCTGAGGCCCAGACATGCCAAGCAATTTGCCCAGGGACATGCACCCTACCATGTCAGTTTTAGATACACAGCAGGCAACTTACTTGATTGAGATTGAGTATATCTGTGTTGCACATATATATATATTTTAAAAGGCCACAATTATTTTCAGCTCCTCTCATCAAGAAGGAGAATCTATTTCCCCACCTCTTGGCTGTGTGACATGCTTTTACCAATGGGACATTTGCTGATGTGACACAAGCCCAGCTTGCACATTGGGATATGTCCTCTCTTGTTGCTTTTTGACCTCCCCAGACCACCACATGAAGGAGCCAGGGCTAGGCCTATTGGAGGTTGAGACCATGTGGAACAGAGATAAGCCAGCCCAGCCCAAACTTTGGGGAGCCTGAACCAGCCGCCTTCTGAGGCTGCACAGCTCCATCCCAGCCACCCGTGCCTGCAACCACATGTGTGACTCAGCGGAGCCCATTCCAAACTGCTGAGCTAAAGAATCAAGTGTCATTAAGCATGGGGGTTGTAATGCAGCAGACTGATACCGCCTATTTGTGGGGTGGGGTTGGGAGGATTTTCCTCACTTCACCTGTGGCTAATTTTCCTTAGTCATGGTAATTAATACTAAATGCCCAACAGATAAGCTCCAAATAGTAAAGACTTAACGAGAAGCTTCATTTCTTGCTCAGTAAAAGCTAGTGTGGATCTGGCAGTCCTCCTGTGTCTTGCAGCTAAGGGAACGTGGCCTCAAGGTAACTGTGGCAGGGAGAGAAATGGGGGCCCACCGTCCCTCAATAGCTTCAGCCCAGAAAGGACGGCCCCTACTTTTCACTTGGACACACACAATTGGTCAGAGCTAGTCATGTGACCATAAGGGAAGGCTGGACTAGTAAGGGAGCACGTGAAATAGTCGCCACAAACAGCTTGCGACAGATATAATTAATGTCTAAGTCTGTGTGGTTGTTTAACATCTATCTCCTCAGACTGAGTCCTTGAGGGCAGGGACTACGTGTGCATCGGTCTCATGGTGTCTGGCCACATGTTGAATTGCTAAGTGAATGAACAGTTGGGCAGTTCACAGTGTGATCTTTTATGTTTACCTCCCAGTTGCAGGGAAAATCCTCAATTAAATTTCTAACAGTCCCTCATTCCCAGTAATATATATATGTAAAGCATTTGATATTGCAAAACTCTTTTACAGTGATCATTAAATGAACGTAAATAGAACATGAAATCCCCACTAATTGCAGGTAGGGGTGTGGCTATATCCATTACTTGGCAAGAGTGGATTTTGCATTTTTATGTGTCAGTTTCCATGTGGAAACTGAGCAGCCTTGTCAAAAAAGTTCCTGCTTCAAGGCAAAACCAGGGGAGTCTTCTTCTCTGTTGTGTGGTCTTGGATGAGTCTTCTGCTCTCTCTCTAAACCTCATTTTTCTTAGCTGTGAAATTACAAGACCATTATCTCCTAGAGTTTTCCTGGGGATTAAATGAGTCTCTTTGTATGGTGTAGACACAGGGGTGACACAGCGCCTGCCACTTGGCAGCCCCCATTTCACATGAGTTTGCCTCCCTTGCCCTGTTGCACTGGTCCCAGGGAGGACACTTGGCTTGCAAGGGAGCTGGGGTAGGGTCTGTTGGAAGGTGGGAGGGGAAAGGGGAAAGGTCAGGGGGTTGCCCCCTGAGACCCTGCACACAGCTGGGCTCTGTTCTGGGCAATGCTGGCTATAGACATGAGGCTGACTTGTCCCCGTCTGTACCACTTGGCTTTTACTGCATAACAAAACACCTCAAAACATAGTGGCTTAAAAGGGTGATCACTTTATTTATGATTCTGTGTCAGTTGGGCAACTTTTCTGGTCTGGGCCAGCCTGACGGATCTCTGCATTTGTAGCCAGCTGGAGGGCCTACTGGCAGCTGGATGACCTAAGATGGCCTTTGTCACACGTCTGACGTTAACAAGCTGTTGACTGGGCCTCTTCCCTTGCAGAATTTGATTTTGTTCAGGTATTACTAACCTTCCCACATGCATCAGAAGTCTCAAGGAGGCCACCCCGACCTACAACTGGAGGACAGGCATGGTTAGTTTAGTATAATTGCATTCCCTGCTATAATTGGTCAGGAAAGGGCATGGGACCCAGTTCTGGCCAATGAGATATGTGGGAAAGTCTGTTAGGAGTGCTTCTGGGAAAGCTTTCCTCATCCCAAGAAAGAGATAGGAGATAACACCAATTAACTCTTATTGAGGGCTTGT